TGCTGCTGCTGCTGCTGCTGCTGCTGCTGCTGCTGCTGCTGCTGCTGCTGCTGCTGCTGCTGCTGGTTCTGCTAGCCCGAGTTAGTATAGTGGGTGGTATTTCCGCCTGTCACGCGGAAGACCCGGGTTCAATTCCCGGACTCAGCGTTTAAATTGCTTTTACAATTAATCTGATTATCATTTATAATTTTAATTCTCATTTATCATTTTAATTCATTTATCATTTAATTGTCACTTATCATTTTAATTGTCATTTGTCGAAAAGGAATTTTCAAATGCTTTTTTCTGCCAGTTGATTTTCACAATTTGAGGACTTCTGCGTTCTTATCCTTTTCGGCCCCACACTGCCTTTTGCTGCTGCTGCTGCTGCTGCTGCTGCTGCTGCTGCTGCTGCTGCTGCTCTTGGGGCCTTTTGCTGCGCATTTTCGGGGGCCCCTGTGGGGCGCAGCAGACAGGGCCCCGGGGCCCCTGCCGAGGATTAGTTTGAATTTTTCGAATTAAAAAAATCTTTTTTTTGAATTTATTTCCAGAAATTGAGCTGCAGACTTTGCATGGAAAAAGCCCCAAATGTGCAGCAAGAAACCAAATCGCAAATAAATAGTTTTGCTGCTTTTACTCTCCCCCAAACGCATGCATGCAGCATGCATGCATGCATGCATGCATGCATGCATGCTGCATGCATGCAGCATGCATGCAGTTTTGCTGCTGCGGGCTGCTTTGGGGCTTTTACTTGTGCCGCTTTGCATGCAAATAAATGCATGCGGAGATAAATATATTTTACTCCACAAAAAGACAAATTCTTATGCTTAAATGCATGCATTTAACATTTGTTAATTCCCTCAATGCATGCATTTAATGTGCATTTGTTGCTGAGATGCATGCATTTAATAAATGCTTATTATCTCAATGCATGCATTCAATATATATTTGCCTCTTAAATGCATGCACTAAAATATATTTGTTTTTTAAATTATTTTCTTTGATTTTTTAGGCGAATTATATTTACTTCTACCAGCCTCTAAATGTGCAAGTTTCTTTATTTGGCAGATTTGCATTTTTATTTCAAAAATTTAAATTCAAATGGAATATTTAATCTGAAAAATCTGCGAAAGTAGAACTTTGAAAAAAACTGAAAATGCTGCATTTTGGAGTGTACGTACACCTGGCGGGTGCAGCACGCAGGTGTCTGCAAACAGCGGCCGCTGCGGCTTGCACGAACATTTAAAATCTTTTTATTTTAATTAATTTAAGTTCATTATTTTAATTCTTTTATTTTATATTCTGTTTATTCCCGGACCTTTTCTTGAACGTCTTCAACAAATATATCAAATGAACTTTTTCATTTCCGACATTTTGCTTCCTTTGCCTCCATTTAGTCCTCTTATGAGGGTTTAGGGTTTAGGGTTTAGGGCTTAGGGTTTACAATCTACGGTTTAGGGTTTAGGGTCCAGGGTTTAGCGTGTAGGATTTAGGGTTTAGGGATTAGGGTTTAGGGTTTAGGGTCTAGGGTTAAGGGTTAGGAGGAACAGCTCACGAAGTGCTTGTTGGAAGCAGCAGCTTTCAGCGTGCTGCATAATTCAGTAAACCCTAAAACCCTAAACCCTTAACCCTAAACCCTAAAAATCGGCCTATTGCACAATTCAGAACGCTTTAAACACTCAAATTTAGTAGGATATATTAATCATTAAGCCCTAAACCCTTAAAGTATTAAAGTAGAGGAGAAGAAGTCTTCTTAGATGGAGATCACGCGGGGTGTACAGACACCCGGTGTGTGTCGTGGCCACAAACCCTAAACCCTAAACCCTAGGCTTAAAACCCTAGCTCTACGCCGCCATCTTCTGCATGAGATAAGGCAGATCTGTGAGCCCTAAACCTTTAAAATGTATTTAGGGTTTAGGGTTTAGGGTTTTGGGTTCAAAGAAGAACTCAAACAAGGAAAAAGGGCCCCAACGAGCGGCTGACCAGTGCCGACACCCTGGGGTGTACAGACACCCGACTAGGGTTTGGGGTTTAGGGCTTAAGGCGGTTTTTTCAGTTTATTTCTCAATTTAATTTAATTGAAAAACATTATATAAGAGGATTTTCATTGCAGCAGCCCAAATGTGGGGCCAGCCAGAGCAGCGAACGCAGCAGCAGCAGCAGCAGCAAGTCGCATAGACAGCAGCCGCGAGCGATTCGTAGGGCTAAACCCTCAGCCCCAAACCCCAAGCCTTAATATATTTAAACATTTTCATTTGCGTTTTTAGTATTTACACTGCAAGCCCTGGTTGCCGGCCCTATTTGCGAGGGTTTAGGGTTTAGGGTTTAGGGTTTGGCGGCAGTCGCTGGGACTAGCGATGATCTTTGAGGCCCCATCTAGGGTTTAGGGTTTAGGGTTTAGGGCTTTGAATTTGGCGCTATGTCTGCGGTTCTTCAAAGCTCCTTCTACTCAACTGCTGCTACAGCTGGCGCTGCTGCTGCTTGCGCGTTGTCTCTGCTGCCGCTGCTGGCCCACGGCTGCCGGCTGCTGCTGCAGCAGCGCAGCAGCAGCAGCAGCAGCAAAGCAGCAGCAGCAGCAGGGGCTGTCCAAACAGCCCCCAAGACCCTCGCCCTCCGCATCATCTTGATAGTGCCAGTGTATGCAGCAACTTCCCTGCTGGCCTTTCTCTACTGCTCGCCTGCTGCTGCTGCTGCTGCTGCTGCAGCTCCTGCTGCTGCAGCAGCTGCTGCTGCAGCGGACGGCCCTTTTGCCGTTCCCGCTGGACCCGCAGCAGCTGGCGGGGAGGTGCCTGGCCGCGCTGCTGCTGCTGCTGCAGCAGCAGCAGCAGCAGCAGCAGCGCTGCAGCAAGGCAGCGGCGGCTGGAAAGGACTCTGGCTGCGGGGAATCAGAGAAGGCTATGAAGTCTATGCCCTTTATGCCTTTCTAGAACTTCTCATTGCGCTGCTGGGCGGGGAGCAGCAGGCAGTCAACCAGCTCCACCTCAAGGTCTGCTGCTGCTGCTGCTGCTGCTGCTGCTGCTGCTGCTGCTGCTGATTCTGTGGCGGACTCGACTGCTGCTGCTGCTGCTGCTGCTGCTGCTGATTCTGTGGCGGACTCGACTGCTGCCGCTGCTGCTGCTGCTGATTCTGTGGCGGACTCGACTGCTGCTGCTGCTGCTGCTGCTGCTGATTCTGTGG